TGTGAAATGTGAAGCAGTGGGATTTTAAAATAGGTTTGACGGAGCGAGCGACATTTCCAGGTACCTGTCTCGGTCACCGCCTCGTTTGTCTTTTGTCGTCTCTCTCCCTCCTCCTTCACTTCCTACTCCCCTCTCCCCCCCCCACATCTGTTGATCGAGCTCCGGATGAGGCTGATCCGCCAGAGTACGCCTGCACCTCGTTTTCCAATTAAGGCCCGTGTTTGCGGAAGCTCCAACTTTGACTGATGTCTGTCAGTGTCTGCAAATCTCCACTTAATTACTGATAAGCCTTTGATTTGGCACCCGGTGGATTATTTTCACCGCATGCCGACTTGTGCTGTGAACACTTTGACTCTCTGGCGTGCCAGCCCTGTGGTTACTGGGCCCCAGGCTGTGTAGTTCCTTCTCCTCATGCTCTGTGGTTCCCTCTCCGCATGCTCTGTGGTTCCCTCTCCCTGAGCTCTGTTGCTCCCTTTCCCCAAGCTCTGTGGTTCCCTCTTTCTTTGCTCTGTGGTTCCTTCTCTTTGTTCTGTATTCCCCTCCCCCGTGCTCTGTGGTTCCCTATTCCCGAGCTCTGTGGTTCCCTCTCTCCGAGCTCTGTGGTACCCTCTCCCCATGCTGTGTGGTTTGCTGTCCCCATGATCTGTGGTTCCCTCTCCCTGTGCTCTGTGGTTCCCTCTCTGTGAGCTCTGTGGTTTGCTCTCCCCATGATCTGTGGTTCCCTCTCCCCGTGCTCTGTGGTTCCCTCACCATGTGTTCTGTTGTTCCCACTCTGCATGCTCTGAGGTTCCCTTTCCCTCGGTTCTGTGATTCCCTCTCCCTGTGCTCTGTGGTTCCCTCACCATGTGTTCTGTTGTTCCCTCTCTGCGTGCTCTGAGGTTCCCTTTCCCTCGGTTCTGTGATTCCCTCTCCCTGTGCTCTGTGGTTCCCTCACCATGTGTTTTGTTGTTCCCTCTCCCAGTGCTCTGTGGTTCCCTCTCCCCATGCTTTGTGGTTCCCTTTCCCTCCTCTCTGTGGTTCCCTTTCTCTCTGCTCTGTGGTTCCCACTCCCTGCGCTGTCTGGTTACTGGCTCTGTGGTCCTCCTGTACTCGCGCAGTACCCACACGCTCCAGCTCTGCGGGCTGCGCATGGTGCTCCCCCCAGGGGTTGCGCAGTGCTGCTTTGCATGCAGAGCTGCACCTGTCCCCTCTCTGGAAGGACTCATTTTCTCTCGGGCGGTGCGCTGGCCTGGGCTCACCTGCCACTCGAGGCGCCGGCACACCGCAGAAGGGCTGCCCTACGTGAGCTGGCAAGGATTGCTGAACCGGGACGCAACTTTGACTTGGCAAGCTGGCATAAACCGGAGACGTGAAGGCACTGCCCAAGCACGGGCGGATCCAGCGTGTTGTTTAGTCGAACCCTGTCTCTGGAGGAGACTGAGAACATGGACAGTAGACTCTCCTTTTGTTAATCAAACATGGTGTTGGTGCTTTACCTGCTGTTGCATGTCCTGGGCAGTAGGTGGTGTATTAGTTAAGGGCTATGCAAATCCCTTCAGTGAAATGCATCTCTCTAAAAATGTGTATATCTCTATACCACTAAGCAGCACGGAGGAACACCAGGGGGCCATTATGGACATTTGTACCTGTTAGTATGTCTTGTTAAAAGTGCTTATATTCCCCAGAACCAGCAATCAAGATGCAAATATCATGTTGGATATTTTCTACAGTGACAGTGCTGCTCAGACATGTGCCTTTGTCCCACGCCGGCCCCGGGTCCGGGATCCCGCCTCACGCGTTACCTATTAAAAGCCAGCATGGCCTGGATAGCGCCTCATACATATGTGATGAGCTCGTTATATGTTCTGCAGTGGATGCTTCATTGGCAGGATTAGCTTTGTAGGTGGTGAATAGCTTTAATTGAATATGTGTTCTTTAAGCAGACACACGGCGTGTGTGTGTGTGTATGTGTGTGTGTGTGTGTGTGTGTGT